TTTTTTTCCCAACCCTTATATATATATATATATATATATGTATATATGTATGTGTATATATATATATGTATGTGTATATATATATATATATGTTGTTCGCAATCGTAGTATTACCATTTGTTTGCAAATACTACGCTTTTTTGGTTCTTTCTTTGACAAAAAAGGAGGGATTTTATGTGCAAAAAAAAAATTTAAGAACACATAAAATCCCCCTTTGTAAGTGCACTTGGACCCAAGTAACCTTTCTTCCAAACTCTCCTGTGAATGTCAGCAGCAGATATACGGCTCCCTGTTGGGTTAATGAATGCTCTCACCGTCAAACGTCACTCTCGCTCTCTTTCTCTTTCACTCACTCTCTCTTTCTCTTTCACTCACTCTCTCTTTCTCTCCTCTCCAAGCACAAGTGAATTCACACAGAACACGGTGAACAAAACTTCCTTGTTTTCAAGGTCCGGTCAGCAGAGAATGGCAGACAGCGATTTGAATCTGGTTTACCATGGTCTCCTGCTACCTAAGATAAGTCATACAGAGGAAAGTCTCAACTACCTCCAGAATTTCCAAGTCAAAGATGATGATGTCTTTGCTGTTACCTATCCAAAATCCGGTAAGATCATTCTTTGTTTTCGATGCATACTGTTTAGTTCTCGTGCGTTCAGCAACACAGACTTATTGCATTACATTTTCCTCATATTGCTATAATCTTTGCAAAAGATGCAACATGTTATATGCTTATGCACATATATAAATTGTACAGTTTGCAAAACAAATTGTGCAGCATTTAAACGATGCAAAACTATTATTTGACTATTACTCTGTCATGAATTCAGTCTGTCTGCATTTTGATTTTCCTCAGACTGCAAATCACACTATTCTGTTTTATAGAATATCCATCAACTAAATTACTCTATGCAATGACATTTTAATATTGAAGTTCACAGGCTAATGCATTCTGCATAATGATGTGTTCATTATTCAATGTATTGCAAATTAAAATGCTGTGTTATTTTATGCATGAAGGTGATCAGTCCATCCTTCATTGGTTTCTGCCTGTGTTTTTCAGGTACCACATGGATGCAGGAAATTCTTCCTCCGCTCTTGAGTGGAGGAAACCTGACGTCCGTGGAAACCATCCCTAACTGGGACAGGGTTCCATGGCTGGAGGAAACACGAGCTTCAGTGGTCTTAGATAAGCTCCCTTCACCACGAGCCATCGTCTCCCACATGCCTTATAATTTGATGCCTTCCTCCTTTTTCAAGTCCAAGGCCAAGGTACAGAAAGCAGCAGAACAATCCTATTTATAAATAGTCTGTATAGTTAATGTTTTACTTTTGGCATAACACTGGGAAAGAAAGATGTTCCGCGTTCACTAGTCTGTATTGACATCTGCTGCCAAAGAAAAAGTTAGGCCATTTAAACTAGTTCATCAGAATGTGAAAAAAAAATATATATCATTTACAATCTATAACTGGCTACAAGATGCCATATTTTCACAGTACTTTTTACAGTACTAGTTCTACAGTCTCTTACAAATAAATGACAGCTGCATGTTTGTAGATTAACTTTAATAATGTGATGTTGCAACTTCACTTCCCAGCATGCACTGCAGCACACATGAATTATGTGGTCGTTTGTTTATTTTACTAAATGCTGGTTTATTCTGCAGTTTGTTTTTTGTCACTTTGTTTTATAAGAATGTCGGTTGTCCCCATTCATCAATTTTTCACAGCTGCATGTTTGTAGATTAACTTTAATAATGTGATGTTGCAACTTCACTTCCCAGCATGCACTGCAGCACACATGAATTATGTGGTCGTTTGTTTATTTTACTAAATGCTGGTTTATTCTGCAGTTTGTTTTTTGTCACTTTGTTTTATAAGAATGTCGGTTGTCACCATTCATCAATTTTTCACTAAACACAGCCTCTAAAGCTAAATATATATATATATATATATATATTAGTGCTGGACAAAGATTAATTGTGATTAATTGCATCCAATATAAAGGTTTTTGTGTACATAATATATGTGTATGTACTGTGTATATTTATTATGTATATATAAATACACATGCATGTATATATTTAAGAAAAATATGTTATGTTTATATATTAAATATATAATATAATATAGGCCTATATTATATATTCATATATAATATAAATTATATGAATATAAATATATACATGTATTATATACTTTTTATAAATTATTGCATTTATCTCATATAGTATTATTATAGATAATACAGTTTCTTGTCAATCCTCCTGAGGGGTTTATGGGTGGCGGGAGGTTATGTAATGTTTTAGTTTTGGTCTGGATTCACGTTATTCAGTGGGGTTAAACGTGGGAATAAGAAAAAAAAATGCAGACAATGTCCTCGTCACTGTATTGTTCTGTGTTATATATCTGTCTGTGTAATAATAAAACATGTGGAACAATAAATATATACATGTAATATTTTCAAAATATATACTGTATGTACTGTATATATAAAATATACTTGCATTTTCTTACACTGTTCTCTCACATCAAGATGCATGTCCAGACAAGTCTTTTTTTTTTCTTCAGTAAAGCAAAGCAAAGTGTCATTGTTATATCGTGTTTTTCATCTTCAGGTAATCTACGTCGCTCGGAATCCTAAAGATGTTTTAGTCTCATCTTTCCACTTTCATCAAATGGCCAGTTTCCTTGGAGACACTGGAACGTTTGAAGAATTCATTGACAAATTCCTGTCAGGAAAAGGTGAGACGTTCAACTATGTGTTTAAAATCAATTCTGCTTGAATTAAGTATTCAGTATTCATGTGACTAGTAAAAATACTAAATGTAACTGCTTATTGAATGTTGGTGTATTTTTTTATATTGATGTTGCTGCCATATTAAGGTCCACTTTGCATCATGCCCAAAAACACCCAGACTATTTTTTGAATTTAATAATAAACATGCATCAAACATGATATGTGTAGATGGAGAGTGTAAATATAACTACTCAAATGATCAAGTTGCAATTGCTTACACAGTTTGTTTCGGAAAATGGGCCGACCATGTGAAAAGCTGGCGAAACCCTGAGCTCGGCGACAGAATTCTGTACATCACCTACGAAGAAATGCTTCAGGTAAAGTGAAGAGATACTGCTCATTCAGAAATCAGAGAGAATGGGTGTAATGAAGGTTCTTGTAATTGTAGGACCTCCGTGAAGTCCTGGACCGGATTTTAACATTTCTTGGCCGGGAGCTCAGTGCAGAGGCTCTGGATCGCGTGGTCAATCATGGCACTTTCAAAAATATGAAAACAAACAAAATGTCAAACTACTCTCTGGTGCCAGAAAACATTATGGACAACAAGAAGTCACCCTTCCTCAGAAAAGGTACCCAGGTTTTCAAGTATCAGCTGAGATCCGTTTTTTTTTTAAACATTGTGATGATATTTGTTCTTGAATGAAACCTCTCTGCTTATTTAAAGGTATCGCTGGAGACTGGAAGAATCACTTCAGCCTTGAACTTGATGCCAAGTTCACAGCTGTAATTCAAGAGGAAATGAAAGGAAGCAACATCAAATTCCCGTGGGATGAGTGAATCTCTTGTAATGATATCTCGGTGCACATCAAAATAAACAGTCATAGATGGAACATGTGATCGTTTAATTCACTGTGTGTTTATTCAAGTTTATTGCAGAGTTATTGCAGCAATGTTCTCTTGTTGTCCTGAAGCTATGTTGGAATTGCTCAAGATGATAAGACGTTAAAGTGTAAGACAGTTAGACCACTTTTGGGTTTTTGCAACTTAACAGTGAGGGTGCAACATCTAACATCTGTTTCGTGTTACTGAGAGATGTTGCAAACTCTTGACACAGGAATGTGACCACACAATAATGAGATTTATGTATAGTCATATTTATGGACTGCTTTTCACAGTGAAATATCATTTATCTAATCAGGTTAGCCCAGCATCTCGTGGTTTTGCATTAAGCATAAGAAATAATATCAGTATACCTACCTACATACAAAAACCATGTATATGAACTATTTGTTTATTTCATATAATAAATATGCTTAATGCATATAAAACAAAAGCAGCACAATTATCCTTTCGACTTACCAGTGTTGTCAGATTCTTGTCATTCCTTAAAGAAATCATTCACCCAAAAATTAACATTTGCATTTACTTACCTTAAGGCCAAAGAAGATGTATGAGTTGGAGAAATTAAGCCAAAAAAATAAAAAATTAGCTATTATATTAGCTATAAAATGTGTGTGAGATTCATAAAATTTTTATGGGCTGAGAAAATAAATGCTCTTTCAGCCTGTCCAAAAGCACGTATGTTGTTTCTGCTGTTTGGAGAGACACACACACACACAAACACATATTTATATGAACTCCCCTCACATTCAACTGCTTTTATTTCCAGCAAATTTCTGAATGTGTGTTAATATTTGTATTACCTTGAGACATAAACTGAACATGCTTCACGCACATTTAACAAACAGAAATGGAATAATGAGTCCCAAAACCAAGGAGGGGTCAATATCAAAAGTCTCTTTTGTGCATCAGCTGCTTTGAGTACAGTTCATCTCATTCTCATTGAATGCACGATTTGTAAGTTCTTGCTGTTAGATGTTTCTCCACTCTTCCAGCAGGGCATCAGCAAGTTCTCAAGCACAACTGGGGGTCATATAGTTATATGTTGCACGTTTGCATTTTGCCTATCAATGTTTAGTCTCTTAAGCACTGTTCCTTGTAGGTGCATGTGTGATAATAGTTTATGATTGACTGAATAAGCATGAAAAACCCTTTACAAGATCTGTAAAGCTTATCTGGATTTTAAATGATTTTAAAAATTGCAGCATCCTAAAAATAATAATAAATTATGTAAATATATATAATTATATAAAAAGTATATACAAACAATTTTTAAATATATATAAATAAAATTAGAGGGTCATATATATATATATATATATATATATATATATACACATGTATAACCCTCTAATTTTAT